CCAAAAAGTTGGGGGGGGGGGGGATGACTGTGGTGGAAAACGAAAAAAATGAGCTAATTCCTACTCGCACTATAACGGGGTGGAGAGTTTGCATTGACTATAGAAGGGTCAACAAAGCACCCCGCAAGGACCATTTCCCACTTCAATTCATTTACCAAATGTTGGATAGGTTGGCTGGTCATGAGTATTATTGCTTTCTTGATGGTTATTTGGGGTACAACCAGATTGTCATATTCCTAGAGGATCGGGAGAAAATGACTTTCATGTGTCCTTATGGTACTTTTGCTTTCAAGCGAATGGTGTTTGGTCTTTGTAATGCACCGGCCACTTTCCAGAGGTGCATGATGGCCATTTTCACTGATATGGTAGAAATGTTTGTAGAAGTTTTAATGGATGATTTTTCACTCTTTGGGTATTCTTATGATGATTGTTTAAAGAATTTGGGCAAGGTGGTGGCACGTTGTGAAGAAACAAATTTGGTGCTAAATTGGGAAAAGTGTCATTTTATGGTGCAAGAGGGTATCACGTTGGGTCATAGAGTATCGAAGAGTGGCATTGAAGTTGATAAGGCGAGGGTGGAGGTAGTTGCAAAATTACCTCTGCCCATCTCTGTGAAGGGTGCCCGGAGTTTCTTGGGACACGCAGGTTTCTATAGACTCTTTATTAAAAAAAATTCTTAAATTGCTACTCCATTGTGTAGGTTGCTTGAAAAGGATGTGACTTTCAAATTTGATGAAGCCTTCCTGAAGGCATTCAAGGAGCTCAAAAATAAGTTGGTAGCTGCCCCCATTATTGTAGCACCGGATTAGTCCTTACTAATTGAAGTTATGTGCGATGCCAGTGACCATGCTATTGGGGCAGTGCTAGGCCAAAGGAAGGATACGATGTTTTACTCCATATACTATGCGAGTAAGACTCTTGATGATGCACAACTAAATTACACCACCACTGAAAAGGAGATGTTGGAAGTTGTGTGGGCCTTTGAGAAATTTCGGGCTTACTTTGTGGGAACAAAAGTTATAGTCCATATCGATTATGCAACAATTAGGTATCTATTTATGAAAAAGGAATCCAAGGCTATATTGATGCGTTGGGTTTTGTTATTGCAGGAATTTGATGTAGAAATACGAGATCGAAAGGGCACAAAAAACCAAGTGGCCAACCACGTGTCGATGCTGGAAAATCATGAGCACGTAGAGGAAGGTGGACAAATTAATGAGACATTTCCTGATGAGAAAATTTTTGCCATCACCCATGACCCTGCCCCATGGTACGCGGACTATGCGAATTATATTGTGAGAGGGGTACTTCCTCCTGAAATTCAATCTGAGGCTAGGAAGAGATTTTTGCATGATGTGAAATTTTACTATTGGATGAGCCATTCTTGTACAGACAATGTGCAGATCAATTGATGAGGAGGTGCATTCCTTAAAAGGAAGTGGAATTGGTGTTGTATGACTGCCATGCCTCGCCTTTTGGGGGCAATCATGGAGGCGATAGAACAACTGCTAAGGTGTTGTAGTTGGGGTTCTATTGTCCAACATTGTTCAAGGATGCCCATACATTTGTTAAGAAGTGTGGCTAGTGTCAGAGAACAGGAACAATCACGAGGATGCATAAGATGCCTTTGAATAATATCCTAGAGATAGAGATTTTCGATGTATGGGGAATAAACTTCATATAACCATTACCATTGTCTAGAGGAAACAAATATATCTTTCTAGTGGTTGACTAGCAAGATATATGTTCAAGGATGCCCATGCATTTGTTAAGAAGTGTGACTAGTGTCGGAGAATAGGAACAATCACGAGGATGCATAAGATGCCTTTGAATAATATCCTAGAGATAGATATTTTTGATGTATGGGGAATAAACTTCATATAACCATTACCATTGTCTAGAGGAAACAAATATATCTTGTTAGTGGTTGACTATGTATCAAAATGGGTAGAGGCGGTCGCATTTTCAACCAATGATGCTAAGGTGGTAGCCACTTTTGTGAAGCAACACATATTCTCGAGTTTTGGAACTCCACGTGCCTTGATTAGTGATGAAGGAACACATTCTTGTAATCTGTTGTTGAATAACCTTCTAGCCAAAAATGGGGTCCGCCACATAGTATCCACGACATATCATCTGCAAACGAGTGGACAAGCTGAAGTGTCCAACGGAGAAATAAAGTAGATACTAGAGAAGACAATGAGTGTGAACAGGAAAGATTGGGCTATAAAGCTAGATGATGCCTTGTGGGCATATAAAACTACATACAAAACACCAATTGGGGCATCTCCGTATAAGCTTGTTTATGGGAAGGCATGTCACATACCGGTTGAACTTGAACATAAGGCATATTGCACGGTCAAGAAGAAGAATATGGACTTTGAAGTTGCGAGCGAGAAGAGGCTCTTGCAGTGGAATGAGTTAGATGAGTTCAAGATGCACTCCTATGAAAATGCTGAGCTTTACAAGGAGAAAACAAAATGATGGCATGACAAGCGTATTAAGCCACGTCACTTTGAACCGAGCCAAAAGGTGCTATTGTTTAATTCCAGGCTTAACCTATTTCTTGAGAAATTAAAATCGAGGTGGTCAAGTCCATTTGAGGTGGTGAGAGTCACTCCTTATGGTGAAATAGAGTTGTGCGCTTTAAATGGTGAAAGAAAATATTTGGTGAATGAGCAAAGATTCAAGAACTATTGGGGAGGTGTTATCGATCGTCAGAAGTCCAAAGTAATACTCGCTAATGAGTAAGCGAGGCCTTGCGTCGTGCCGCGACGTTAAATCATGCGCTTGTTGGGAGGCAACCCAATTTTTAGTGCTTTCGTAGATTAACTTTTCATTTTTTTATAGTTAGAGTAGACTAGAGCTTTTTCTTGTTTTCTTTGTAGTCATAAAATCATAGGTAGGAATGGTGTAGGGTGTGTATTAAGCTTGTTAATCGGGCCGGACCAACCCAATCATAGCCCGGTTCAGCCCGGTACGTTAGGGGGTGGGNACAACCCGGTCCAGCCCGATTACCGTTGTAAATTTTTATTTATTTATTTAATTTTTGAGTGTTGCCAATGGTCAAATTCAAAAATGATTGTTGGGCAACAGCCATGTTTTGCAAAAATGGCCATTTCGGCCTACCCCTTAAGAAAATTGCCCCCCACCCCTAATAATTGATAAATTATAATTTTAACCTTTTAAAAACTATAAATATCCCTCATTCTTATTCATTTGTTTTCTCACAATTTTCTCTCTTACTACTCTAATTCTCTCTCAGTTCTCTCTTGATAATATTGGTTATTGCTCTTATATTCTCAATTACTTATTATTTCAAGTTGCATCAAAAATTTACTTTAGTCACTACAAAATTATAATTATCAAGTATTCAAGTGAAGTGTAGTATCAATATTCAATAGCATCAAATATCAGTCTATCAACTGATGTTTGATATCAAATTTAGTGCGGCATCCGGAATCCCGGTACATTCGTTCCATCTATTTCTCTTCTTTGTGTATATTTTTATTTTATTAGTTAGAATTATTAATTTAATTTACATAATGAAAATATTTAGAGCAGCTAAAAAAGCGTGTACTAGTAGGGGTGGTAGTAGTAAGAGAAACTTCTAAAAAATCAAGAGGTGGTTTTGGTTCTTCTAATAACTTTACACATATTTCTGAAAGTTCACCTGAAAATTTAAATGTAGATTATGAGCATCTTCAAGAAAATTATGGTATAGATGATGATTTAGTTGATATTCAATCACCTGATAATCTTGAAACATCACCAACTACAATTGGTAATGCTAGTCAAACTCAAAATACTAGGGGTGGAGGTCGTGGTAATACAGGTAGGTCTCCCCTCCCTATTAAGAGGAATCGAAGATTAAGAAGTAAGTGTTGGAATAATTTTGAAAGACTAGAAGAAGATAAAAATTATGTAAGATGTCAAATTTGTAAGGAAGTTTATAAACATGAGACTAGGGGTAAGGCAGGGGAACGGGTCAACTTCGTAGGCACATGGTAGATAACCACCCTATTGCATGGGCTGCTGATGAGGAAGGTGGGCAACAAAAAACTTAACCCGGGTACTGGCGGTTTAATGGGTAAATATGATATAGCGAAAGATCGAGAAGAATTGGATAAAATGATTGTTTTAGGTTGTTTACCTTTTAGTTTTGCTGCTTCACCATATCTTGTTACTTATATTCAAAGAATGTATAATCTTTTATTTAAAGGTATTCCTAGAAGTACTTGTAAATCTGATATCTTTAGGCTCTTTGGACAATATCATACATATATATGTTATTTGTTCGTAAGTCTTTCTTGTAGAGTTTCTCTTACTTCTGATATTGGTCGTGCTGTTAATGAAAATGCTTAGTTGACTGTTATATTCCATTGGATATATGATAATTTTTGTATGCAAAAACGCATTATTGCTTTTAAATATGATGAAGATCAAAATCATACTGGTGCATTTACAAGTAATACCATCCATGAAGTTGCTATATTTTACAATCTTTCAGAAAAAGTTGTGTATGTCATTTGATAATGCTTCCAACAACAATGCTGCTATTACAATATTAAAATTGCATCTACACCCACCACTTTCTGAAATATTTCATGCTAGGCGTGCATGTCATATTTATAATTTAATTGTGAAGAGTGGCCTTGAATTATTTAGAGATGAGATCACTTTAGTTAGAAGAGTTATTGGTGTAATTCAAGGAAGTAATAGAAGTGCTAGATTAAATGCATTTAAGGAAAAATGTGTGTACAATATGAACTAAAACCAAGATTCATGCCTGAAGAAATAGTTACTAGGTGAAATTATACTTATTTATTCTTAAGATGTTGTTATAAATATAAAATGTCTATAACTGAAGTTACTAATTCTCATTGTACCGATCCTAACCGTTTGTTAACATCTAGAACTTGGGATGTCATTGAAGATGTTGTAAATCTTTTACAAAAATTTTATGTGGCTACATTTGAGTTTTCTGGAGCTTATTATCCTACTATTGCAAATGGTTTAGTTCATATTGCTGAAATTTTTTTTTTACTCCATAATTTGAAGAAGAAAGAAGGATATATTCTGTTGTTGAATCTATGCTAGATAAATTAAAGAAATATTTCTACCTAATTCCCCATATTTACCTAATTGGTGCTATTTTAAACCCTTTAATCAAAATGGTCATTTATCGCCAATTAATCACTGCTTTATATGTTTATATGGATATTGGACCAACTGAAACCCCTGATATTGAAACTTGTATTTCTGATCTACACAAACATTTACAAACTTTATATAATTATTATGCTAATATTGTTGATGCTTCTGCTGCTGTAGATGCAAATATTCCTTCAAGTTCAGTTTCAACATCTGGGACCGGTGCTTTGGAGGATAATGATGGTGTTGAAGATTATTTGATTTGGTCTAAACTAGAAGAGCATCAACAAACCAGTAGCGGGAATATTGATGAACTCCAATTCTACTTGAAAAAGTCACTAGAGACCCGCACAAAGGAATTTCTACCGCTGGGTTGGTAGTGGAGAACTCAAATCAATTTCCTGTTCTTTTGGCCATGGCTCGAGACGTCCTAAATGTGTCGATTTCAGCAGTCGCATCAGAGAGCACATTTAGCCAAGCAAGGCAGCAACTAGGAGATACCCCTCATTCATTGGGTAGTAACGTTTTGGAAATTCTAGTGTGCTTCAGAGATTGGATAAGATCAGAACAACGAAATCAAGGGCGTCAAGAGGTAGATGAAACGGAGAACCAAGAAATTAGAGATATAATGGTTTATGGTTCCGATTCAAACAAT